TCAACAATCTGGCGCAGGGCAAATATATGGTCAGAGGTGCTTCGACCGGGCAGGAAGCCACACTGCTCTTTTTGAATCTTGACGTCAACTGTTTCACGGCACCTCCTTTCTAACACTTTCGCATAGACTTTACTTGGGAGGCTCAGTAACGTTATGCCCCGATAATTGTAGTATAGGATCCGGTCATAGGCTTTTCCTAGGTCAGCAAAACACATGTTCACCGGACGGGAATACCCCCACGAGTTAAGTTTAAAGGAGGCTTCGCCAAGGTTTCCAACCCTCCTTTTTTTTCATCTGGTCTTGGGGCCGCCAATTGTGGAGTGGATCAGTGTATTTTCTGCAATAATTAATTTTTGAAGATTTGGCACGTGTTGCCTTTAAATCTGGTCAGGCATACTTCTCAAGCTTTTACGGAATGGTTTATCCTGCCAGGGCCTCGGAAGCTCAGCTTTGCCTCTTGCTGGAAGGCCTGTGTCGCCCTCTTCCAATTTTGAAACAGTGGATTTCGCTTAGGAATTGGGATCGGTTAGGCGAACCTAAAAAATTAGATTGTGAACTGAGTTGTTCTTCTTTTATATTCGGGTTGAGGATGAATTGTAGCAGGAGATAAATCAGCGATAAAAAGTATTATCGTTCGCAGGGTTGACGTGATGAGTTACTAATTGGGGCAGCAGTTTTTTTCCCCGCATGTTTCCCACATTTTTAGCTCCGTTAGTGTGAATGATGTCGGTTCACCTTAGCTTGGTATTATCAACTGTTCCATGACCCCTTGATGTTACTTCAGAATAACCATTTGTTCATGGTCTCTGGTTCACAAGGTCGGAAACATTATGAAAATATAGAAGCATGTCTTCATCGCATTGTAGTATGATAACTGTCAGTCATTCTGCGACACTTTTAACTCAAGGACTCCACTTCTAAACGGATTTTCTTTAAAGTTTGATGAGGTCTAACAATCGCGCATTTTCAGTGTCTGGCTAACTGACTGCTTAAGGGCTCACGGTAAGTATTTCTGACTACAATGGAGCTATGGTACAGCATCAGGATAATTAAAGGTGTTTACCTCACGTTTTACAGGTACTTCAAGAGCTTAATTTAAATATCAGATCAAAAACTATGCTTAAGCTGTCGGCTTTAAAGTCCAGGTGCCTGGTTCGAATCCAGAGAAGGGACCATTTTAGTCCTAAAAGCGAATTTCCTTGAACAAGAGTGACTCACCGTTTCTTCGGGCAAGCCAGCCAAGAAACTAGTAGAAAATCATTGACTTCGAATAGAAGAAATAGCATGATATTCGGGTGTTGTAATCCGAAAAGGGGCGACATGAATGGCCGTACTATCAAATAACTCTATTTCGCTTAGACCCACTGAGAGCTAACTTTACAGTGTAATAATCAGCAAAAATTGTAATATTGATTTCGATTTGGATACCGTTTCCTCTCTGACGTCGAAGAGTCATTGTTACCTCGTCATGACTCTGACTGCTACTGAGCAGCGGCGCTTTAAGACGAGATGTAGTGCATTTACTGAGGTGAAATAATGAACTGCTGCAGTGTAGATGCGTCAGTCGATGCGCTGACTCAAAGATGACAAATGGTTCTCAAATGTCTGACTTGTTTTGATATTCAAGCCGGGTTGATTTTTTAGGACGCATTCATTAGATGATGTCGAGTTTTTGTCTTTCTAAAGACGAGTTTCCTTAAATCGTCAAATCGCCTCTCAATTATACTCACTATCTGTACAAACTTTTGTTTTAAACCTAGTCATTCAATTTGTACCCTTGGGACACTCTTCGTAGAATTCGCGAAACGCTTAAAAGTTTGGAAAGCTGATTTCTTGAATGGAGTCATAAACGAGCTCCATTTTGCAGCATGTGCAAAAATGTAGGATTACCACAGTTAACAGTTGCACATGGAACATAAATAGCAGTAATACTGTACATTGAACATTCGAATATAACGACCGTGCTTTCTTCGATGTCGAGCGTCGTGCAAGATTCATATTTTTCGACACATTCCTGAAAGTCTTTGGGGAAAGTTTGATTTCACTGATCTTCACGGGAATAAAGCAACCTGTCAATCATCTGCTGATGAACAGGAGATGCGAGATCACCCATTTCTTTACAAAGGCAAGCACAATGAACTAATCCAAACGAAACAAATGAATTAAAATTGGAAAAAAGTAGGCATACCAAAGTATTCAAAAAATACTTTGAGCTGAACTGCCAAATCCAGCTCTCCAAAATGCAGACTACACCAAAATGACAACAATGAACAAAAATTGTAGGTAATGTGCCAGAAATAATAATCTGTACGTTAAAGCAGCTTCACATAAGCCTCAACAACCGAAGGAACAGCAAAATTCAAGGTTGGACTGACTAATGAGATGGTCAAACTCTGTTCTGATTCCGTTAATCCTGAAAGGATGTCTTCCATTTAAATCGCTGAATGTTTTGGATCAGTCCATCACATAGTTTTGGAATTGTACATATAATTGTCCGGTATTAAGGTTCAATAACAAAATGCCAGTTTTCGATACCGATGGTTAGAATAACAATCCCTCTAACCTGTGAAGATCTAAAGAAGTAATATTGTTTTTCTTCAGTCGTTTAGGGTGTGATTTACGGACACCAAGACGGCAGTAGTATACCACCTGCAGGGCGTGAATGCAAAACAATATGACTCTTCTGGACTAAAAGACCTGCTTGGAAATCTGGCGATATGCCGTTCTCTGTAAAACTATATTTTCATGAAATCAGCCCGGTAGTATGGATTTAAACTCTCTTACA